AGAAAATATCTGTATTTATAAGATATTAAAAAGTAATGAGATTCTGGTGCTCAAATGATGAAAGGAATCTCTGCCTAAAACACATTTGTTTCATTGATTACCATAAATGTTTTATTAAAAAATCCACGATCTATTAATTTCGAAGAAGATGGGGAGATATACGTGTTCAATAATAATATGCAACAAGGTGATACGATATGAGGATACGATAGTAAAGGATACGCTCCTTAATTTGCATTAATAAGTTAAAGAGAAAGTAATCTTGACTCACCGACGATTTCGACTTTGAAGGTGCGGTTGATGCATCCTAGGTAATTGCAAACGACGCAAGTGTAATTGCCGCTGTCCTCAGGTACTAGATCCTCCAGCCTGAACGTCCACTTAGACACGATCACGGATCCTAGCGTCCTTTTCGGCTCCTCGTTGTTTTTGAACCAGGTGATATTCGGCCACGGGTTGCCGAAGCTCGGGCATCTCAAACGTAACATGTTGCCAGCGGGCTTCACGACCACGTTCGACATCTCCACACTTTTGTTAAAAGACGGAGCTCGTTCCGGCGCGGTGTTATTGTGATCTCCAGCCGTTTCGTTCACACTTTTCTCGTTGTCGAGATCGGCCTCTGCGTTTTCACTGTCCAAATGCAATGCCCGCGTCTCCGGCAGATCTGAAACGACCATTTCGATTCAAATTTAATCGGACGATTGCTATTAGTTGCGATTAGTATAGGAATAGTTCTTAATCGACTTCAAGAAGGACGTACTCGATTCGGTTGTATATACATACAGTAGGTCCCATGAATATTCGCATCTATTTCAGAGCTGAATAACTGTTTTAATCATTGGACTAAACAACATAATAGAAAGTACAATCGGTGAAAATATAAAAACGTCAGACATGTTGGAACATGTAAAAATTCTACAATTCATCTCACAATCAATTGTAGACATTAAGTCATGAAAATTTCTAATTTTTAGATTTTTAATCGCTCATAGATTATACCAACATTAACCGTTTTTGATAAAACTTTGTACATGCATAGAATTTATTTAGGTTTACTAAAAGCATGTTATTTGAGGAAATATGTAACAAAGTTAAAAACCATGTTTACTTTCTTATTCGAGATTTTGGCGAATAGAAGTTTTGTTTCATTTTTATTATACATAACATAGTAAACTAAGCCTTCTAACATTCTAAAGCATATTAAATTGTTTGCTTTAATATTAAAAAAGTTATTCAGTTTTGGAATATGTTCAAATATACAAGTCATTGCATATAAGTAATTCCGTCAACAATTTTGATGACATGACTTTGTTTCATTTGTCGATATTGATGAATTAAAATATCTCTAAATCCTGTATAATCTTATGTTTATAGTTCTGAATATTCATGGGAGTTTTTGTATACCTAAATGTTTGTCCATAAATTGTATTATCAAACTCTAGACTAATTTTTATTAAAACTGTTGGGTTTGGCTTGTTATTCAAGTTTCTTCACCAAATAAAAGCCTTCATACTTTCTACTATCTTTTATTATTTTGAATCGGTTATTTCTCAAATCTGTTTTATTTTTTACAATTAAAATGAACTTGTTTATCCTCCTTTGTCGAACGTAGAAACTTCTGTACTTACTTCTCGTTTCCATCTCCAGTTCGTTCGTTTCTTCCTCGGCTCTATGGGCACCAAGGGTGATTCCCAGTCTCTCCTCGTGCTGGTATCCATCGTTCTGCAACGATTCGGTTCGTATCGTCACATTCCTCCATTCGGTTCGATCGGTCAGATTCGATCGAACTAAGCAACCATACGAATCCGCGTCTTCAGGCTCGACGAATTTGAACTTCAGCAATTGCTTTATCATTCGTATTCTCGACGAGGAAGGTCTAAATACTTCGTCGCCTTTGTACCAAGTTATTTCTTCGTTCGGACTCGACGAGCATCGTAGGCTCATTCTCTCACCGATCGGCACCAATATCACGTCGGGATGATTCACATCTGTAACGAAA